AGGGAACTAGAAAAACAACAACAAAAGACAAAAAATTCCAGAAGAAAAGAAACAATAAAGATTCAAGCAGTGGGAACCAGCAGTTGGCGTAATGGCTATGTCGCTGGACTCCCACGTAATCGACGGCGGTTCGCGTCCCGGACCCGGTGGCTTAAAAACTCACGCCGGGCGCATGTGCGTGCATGCCCAAGATCCCGAGAGGAGAATGGAGGAGAAGGGATTGCGGCGTGACCATCCCCCCTGGGGGGGTGATTTCTCGCTTTCTGTCTCTATGTCTCTGTCTGTCTGGCGAGCTCACAAACCCTATAGCGAAAATCTCTCCAAAAGGAAAATAAAAAAGATTCAAGCAGAAATAAATTAAATAGAGAATAAAATAACTCTACAGAAAACAAACAAAACCAAAAGTTCGTTCTTTGAGAAGATAAAATTGACACACTGTTACCTAGATTAATCAAGAAGAACAGAGAAAGGAACCAGATAAATGGAATCAGCAAGTAAACAGGTGTTATTACAATAGACATAACAGAAATACAAAATATCATTAGAAAATACTATAAGCAATTATATGCCAACAAACATGAAAACCTAGAAGAGATGGACAAGTACCTGGACACTAGTAACTTACCAAGATTGAACCAGGAAGAAATAAAGAGTCTGAATAGACCCTCCATAGCAATGGAGAGGTTTTATGTTTAGATGATATCCATTTTGAGTTGATTTTTGTTAATGGTGAGAGAGAAGGGCCCAGTTTCATTTTTCTGCAGGTTGATATCCAGTTCTCCCAGCACCACTTGCTGAAGAGATTTTCTTTTCCCCATTGGATTGTCTTGTACCCTTTGTCAAGGATCAGTTGGCTGTATGTTTTGGGGTTCATTTGGTGGTTCTTAGTTCTGTCCTATTGGTCTACCTATTTTTGTGCCAATATCATGCTGTTTTAATTATCATAGCTTTACATTTTGAGGTTAGGAAGTGAGATGCCTCCTACTTTGTTCCCTTTTCACAGTATTGCTTTGGCGATACAGGGTCTTTTGTGACCAAATTTATGATTGTTTTTTCTATTTCTGTGAGGAATATCTCTGATAGTTTGATTGCAATTACATTGAATTAGTAGATTAATTTTGGTAAGATTGACATCTTAATTATATTAATTCTTCCAATCCAGGAACATGGGATGTTTTCCACTTTTTGGTATCGTTTTTCATTTCTTTTCAAAGTGTTTCATGTTTTCCTTGTAGAGATCTTTGATGTCTTTGGTAAGGTTTATTCCTAGATATCGTGTTGGTTTTGTGGCTATTGTTTTTTTTGGTTTTGGGTTTGTTTTTTTTTTTTTGGGGGGGGGGGTTTTTCGCGGGCTGTGCTCGCCAGAAAGACAGAGACAGAAAGCGACAAATCACCCCCCAGGGAGGATGGCCACGCAGCAATCCCTTCTCTTCCATTCTCCTCTCAGGATCTTGGGCACGCATGCACACGCACCCAGCATGAGTTTAAGCCACCAGGTTTGGGACTTGAACTGTAGTCAACCATATGGGAGTCCAACGACACAGCCATTACACTAACTGCTGGTCCTAGTTTTGTGGCTATTGTAAGTGGTATTTCTTTCCTGAATTTTGTCTCAGTTTGTGCATTGTTGGTGTACAAAAATGCTATAGATTTTTGTACATTGATTTTGTATCCTGCCACTTTACTATATTCATTTATCACTTTCAGTTTTTTTGTGTATTTGTTTGGGTTTTCTATGTAGAGCATCATTTCATCTGCAAATAGAAACAATTTCACTTCTCCTTTTCCTATTGGGATGCCTTTTATTTGACTCTCTTGTCTGATTCCATTGGAATCTATGCAATCAGAACTTCCAGTACTACGTTATATCCAGTTATGTCCAGTACTATGTTAAAAAGATGTGGAGAAAGTGGACAGCCTTATCTTGTTCCAATTTTTAATGGAAAAGCACTCAGCTTTTCCTCATTTAGTATGATGTTAGCTGTGTGTTTGTCATAGATGCCTTGTATTGTGTTGAAGAATATCCCTTCTATGGCTACTTTGCTGAGAATTTTAATCATGAAAAGATATTGTATTTTATTGAATGCTTTTTCTGCATTAATTGATATGATCATATGGTTTTTATCTTTCCTTTTGTTAATGTAATGTATTACATTTATCATTTTGCATATGTTAAACCATTCTTACATCCCTGGAATAAAGTTTACTTATAATTTTTTAAATATGTTATTGAATATGATTTTCTAGTTGAGAATTTTTTATGGCTTTTTAATTAATTTATTTATTTTACATTCATTCACTGAACATCATCACAGCATACAAAAATGCAGTTTCCCACCCAGAATACACTATATAGTGGCTTAGTCACACATGTTATAAACAAATAATTTTCCATTTCTTGTTTCATATATATTTTTCTCCCCTCCCCCACTCCATTTCTCACCCTCTGCCATTTCCCACCCTTCTCTCACACTATCTCTGGTATCTGCAGTTGCTTTCCATTTCTTTCCCCCCCTCCACATTTTATTGGTTAACAAAATATCTTAATTGATCTAACTAGTTTCAATAGGAAGTTCAGTTGATATATAAGTATCTGTGAACAAATGTTTGACTTTAGGCATGAAACTATGAGTAGAGTGAATATACTATAAAATAGCACCTAGCTGAGGTTATATAGCTTACTGTGGTCATTATATAGGCATTTTTTTAGTTTTTTTTTTTCAAGAAAGGCAGTTTTAGCTTTAATAAATCAAAATCAAAAAATGTTCAGAGAACTTTGCTTAAGATTTAAAGCCAGGAAACAGGTTAGGATTCTGTTCAAATAGTAGGTACATGTTTCTGTCAACAATTCAAGAGAAGACAAAAGTCCTTATCTCTGAGATATAAAGAATAGAAAAATATCAGTATTGTTTTAGTCAAAAGTCATAAAATTCTATTTCACCAGCTAAGTCTCATGTACTTAATCTTACCTCTGTTGTGGTCTGAGCTTTCCGTTTAAATTCTGGAAGATAATATTCAACTCCAGACTTGTCCCTACCATTAAGCTGGCCCTTTTCTTAGATGCTTTTTAACTCTTATTTATTTTTGAGAGGTTTTTGCTATAGG